TGCAATGTGCCCTGGTGGAGAGTCCTCGCCAGTAGGACGGCACTGCCGGACCGAAAACCTGTGCGTCAACACTGACGTGGGTATTACTGTTACTGGGGGCCGCGAGCCCCGGGGCCCAACAGCGCGTCTGCGGTTGGAGCCACAGGGAACTCATCTCATTACCCTGCAGTTGCGTCCCCTCTACTCGAGCCTCCAAGATTTTCATTTTTCCCGTTCAGCACTCTGAATTTTGTCTGTGGCGTTAGTGTTTTCCGGTAGTTATTATAATGAAAATCACGCTGTTTCAAGTGCACTGTGACGGTAAAAACAACGTCTCATTTTAATTTATTTTTTTTTAGGGAAAAGGGAAAACTTTAAGGGGCCTTCCATAGTTGAGAAAAACTTCTCAGATTTCACCTCAGATTGTAAGTAACCCCCTCAAAAAATAAGGAAAAACCCCACATTTTTTTAGAAGACCTCGAAATCTTAGGAGCCTTCCGCAAACAAAAATGAGACATCGTTTTTACCGAGGTCATCGTGAAGTTGTTGTTTTTTGGGGCTATCCCCCTTGTTCTTTTCTAGCCTTATAGCTACCAAGGAGAACGGAACCGGTGGAGATACCCTGTACAGTTGTTGTTGCCAGGCGTGGATTAAGGCCCCCCCCCCTCCCCCCGTGGCCTCCAGTGATCTGCCTGGAATGTAGGCAATTTTCTCTACAAAACCCTTGTATTGGCAAACGACTGTGCATCGCCCCTCCTACCAAACGGACCTTAATCCGCGCCTGGTTGTTGCGGGGCTGCCTCCATAGGTCTGGTCTAGCTACCCTTGGCAGCTACCAAGGAGGGCGGAGTGGGTGGGACACCCTGTGTAGTACTCTCCCCCTCTCCACGGACCAGGACAAGATGGAGTGAGGGGTGAGGCGGCTGCCTCGGCCTGCTCCCTCCAGATCTAGAGAAGTCTGTTGGGGGACCCGGCGGGGCGCGCGGCCTAGGGTGGCCCCAGGCCTGGAGCTCGAGCCTAGGCTGCTCAGGCCGGGACGTGCTCGGTAATTGTATTAGGGGATGCATTTGATGGGATTCGGAGGGGAGGAGAAAAGTACGCACAACGCCGCTGTGCTGTGCCGTTGTGGGGTGGTGCTGGCTGGCG